TTTTAACCTTGAAAGCCCTTCATGGCCTGGTAGCCTCATATCTTGGAGGAAAAACCCTTCTACTATGAGCAACACCTGCTCTTCTTTCTAGACTTTTTAAATTATTATTCTCACTTCATGGCAAATTCCTTGGTGGATTATGTCCCCATTCTCTTGTGATTATAGCTGAGAGAGAAAACGTACACAGATCTCATCATGAACATGATTCACAGCCCTAATGAGAAACAAAGCTGAATAGACAGGAATACAATATTAACAAGCAGGCAATCTTCAACATTACTATTTTGTTTTGGGTTTTTTTCCTTTCCATTATCATTAAAAATCAGATTGGAAACAGCCTCTAACTATTTTTGCTCTCTGATATGTTTCTTACATTAGTATATAAAAGCATTCAAATGCAGCATTCCTCATAATAGCAAAGGGGAATTTCTCTTATTGCCCAATTGCTTAACACAGACATATAACTGACAAGCAACATTTTTAATGCTGTATATATTACCTGATGGTATGTCTATGATTTTCTTTTTTAAAATCTGGGTTTATTACATGTAACAATGGATAAAAGACACAATTTTATCTCTTGGGGAGACAGATTTTTTTTTTTAGAGGGTGGCTTGTTCTTCTACAATATACAATTATTTGTTTAACCCAGATCCCTACTACTTCCTTATTAACCTTTTTTTGACCAGGGATTACTCTCCAACATTAGTACCAAAAGGGTTGCGAATCCATTTTTGGTCAATTTTAGATTTAGTTTGGTTATTTGGGGTGCTGATTCACAAAATTGCATTGGATAGACCACATCAGCTCTAGTTTCTGATACAGAACATATGCCATCCAGTAGTCGCTATCTGCTCATCCACAGAAAACCATATTTAATAATATATTGCTGATGTGGTAGTAGTAATCTTCCATGGGTAGTCAGCCTTTCCCCTCCCGACATCCCCGTTGCTCTATAAGAGGGTTTCTCGAGACCAGTCACTCTAAATGTTTCTTGAGACCAGTCACTCTAAAAGTGGTTTTGAGGCAATAATATAGTAATGGTGATGCCATAGACCATATTTTCAATCTTGTGGACCACTGGTGGTTCATGGACCACAGGTTGGGAATCACTGATTTAATCTAATCTGATTGATACAAATATCACTAGGTTGTCTGAACAAATTCACTGCCAATTTGTCAACAAATTTTTTCACTTCATTGAATGTTGAATTAAAACAGAAAAGATGAACTATTATGGAGATCTGCTAGATCAAACTATTTTGAATCAAGTTTCCATCACTGGCCATCCATCTTTTACCAATAAGCTCTATAGTTTAGCTGTGCATTATTGGACAAAGTCTCTCCTTTGCTCTATATCCAGAATCAAAAACACATCAATTTCAATAAGATAGCCCATTTAGCATTATAAAATGTGGAGAAACTTTTAAAAAGACATAGGCATCATCAGGCCCGTAGCCAGGATTTTGTTTTTTTTTGGGGGGGGTATGAGTTTGATTGGGGGGGGGGGCTGAGTCTGAGTGAAAGAGGGTCTACCCTAGCAAACTTTTGTATTGTTACCCCAATACCCCCATGCATATGGGATATATTGAGCATGGTGATCAGATCATGATATGAATAAACATAACAGTTTAAATAATGTACCAGTAAGGCCTTCTCGGACCACCATGAGAATTTCGGGGGGGGGGAGGGCTGAAGCCCCTCAAGCCCCCCCCCCCCCCCCCCCGGCTACATGCCTGGGCATCATGTGTGGAGATTTCTGGCAACAGAAAGATGCCCCAATATGGCTTTTATCACATGTAAACACAAGTGCTAACAAGTTCCAAGAGAATATAGATGGGGATATTTTCACAATCTATTCAACACAATATTGTTTTAACCCAGATGACCACAAATCTTGGTTGAAATACTACAGCTGTAGAAAGTCACTTTATGAATATAGGCAAACCAATTTTTTTTTGTTAGCCTCATTCCCCACTGCAATAAGGAAATGGCAGTAGACTATTTTACAGGGCTATTGTAAGGCTTACTGATATTATGTATGCTAAATACATTGAACATTCTGAAATATTCCATGAATGCTAAGGACTATTAGTATTAGTTAAGTATGGAATGCATCTACTTATCCCACAAAGTTACATGTAATAGAACTCATCACGCATTTCATATCCACAAGTAAGATATGACATGCATTGATATCATAGACTGTCAGTATATTGGTATTGCCTGTCAAATCTATTGAGATGGTTATGCAAGTTTACCCCTAGCATGATTGACTTTGCTTACTAGCATTTGCATAATATATGTTTTCCAATGCTCTCTTTGCAACCTTCTTGGAGTGCAGATGCATACACAACAGCATTGGTTTCTACTTGTCTCATCCGGCATGCATTTGCAGGCAAAAGCTGAGAGTGCATTATGTGAGCTAGTCTGAGAAGCACACGTTCATATACTGTAAAGCAAGCTTCCTAGGACAATTCAACAGGGAAAGAGGATATGTGTTACATTGTCTTCAAACTGAAAATACAAGCTTGGTTAATAGTTATCAAAATATTGTGTTTGTCTCTCTTTAGACATATTGTAAGGCACGCAATATTGTGCCGATGGAGTATCAACATCTGTAACCACTGAAGTACAATGGTCGGGTTTATTTGAACTTAATGTTATTAACTCTGACCAACTCTTGAGCTACTCGGTTTACTACAACCTGTTGAGCAAGGAAGTGAGGAAGCAACAAGAATGAAAGAAGGAGAATGTCTTGGTTTACATGTATTATAGAGTATGGCTAAGACTGGAGATCAGTTGGAATTCCATCATATCATTACCTTCCACTGTTCCTTCAGTGCCAAGCACATCCGAAATATAAATAGTTGCAGAAGATCGCATTCCATCTTAACTCTTAAAGAAAGGTTAACGAACAACGTTGATTTAGAAAATGTATCCCAGAGAGAAGTCCCGGTAATAATTCACACAGGCAAGATTTAGACTTAGGTCTGGCTTCATGGTGTGAGAACCAGATGTAATATTGGCAGTGGGGAAATTATCCAAAAGAAGGCAATTCAAAACTGGGTATGCTCAAGAGACATTGGGGATGTAAGGTCCCTAATTGATGTGATATTAGGGCTTAGGTCTTCATAAGGGTTACAGAGTGATAGACAATCATATTTTAGATGACCATATATCATGTTGACAAGTATACAAGAATTGATTCAGCCTCTACAAACTGGGAAGTTTGACTCTATTTTAAGTTCTGTAGATTAAAATGGAGCTGCACACTATGAAAAGAATGTGATATATGGAATAAAGAGCTGTAGTCAGACTGGAAAGAGCTGAAATTGAATCCATTTCTAGACCAAAACATGCTTATAATTTGATTGACCCTTTGCAACTGAAATATTGACTTTAGTCATAGGAGCCAGAAGTATGTGCACCTTCCCTTCCCAAAACTGGCTCCCTCACTTCTAAACTGACCCATATGTTTATATAGGTTTGTGTATATATAATGAAAGAATACAAATGTAAAATTATTATTAGACTATATTCTGTTTTAAAGGTGACTAAAAGGGACTCCCAATTTTAAAAACCTGGTGTGATTCTCTAATATTAATAATGACTAAAGCCATGCTGACATGTGACAAGATATTCTTCCAACTCACAAAAGAAGGGATCCTTATTCTGAACCTCTGGCTAATGTGATGCATGCATTATGTGTTCACTCTTTATTCCATCATACACACATTTGCCTAAGTTTAATGGAGTAAAATTCACAGCATTAATCAACATTTTCTCTAATTTAATTCCAGGCCTGACTTCTTGCTTCCCAAATTTAATCGCACAATAGAATAGTCTTTGAATGTTTTAAGATTATATTGGTTTTCCTACAGCAGACACAGCAACACTATGTTTGTTGCTTTCCTTTCTGTTCATGAGGTCTCACAAATATCCTGAGCACTGGTATGATAACAAAACCAGGGAAAATGCTCAGCTACTGTATGCCTACTCTTGGTTTATTTTATATGAAGATATTTCTGAACTTTTAAATGCATTTCTTAGATACTCAGATCTGAGGGAATGGAAGTGTGCAAATGTCATATGGTATCAAAGAACATCGGAGTTGAGCAAATATCTCAACAAGGAAACCAAAACAAGTTGGATGTTGCCAAATAAATCCCTAGTACCTTTTCACAATGTGATCAATAAATGTGCATATTTAGAATAAATACTCTTCCCTGCAAAATGAAATTAGAACTACAGTTCAAATTATGCCAGAACTATGGGAGATGGTGGTCAAACCACTGAGCTGCTGAACTTACCGACCACAAGGTCAGCAGTTTGAATCCAGGGAGGGGGTGAGCTCCTGTCATTAGGCCCAGCGTCGGCCAACCTAGCAGTTTGAAATCATGCAAGTGTGAGTAGACTAATAGGTACTGCTTCTGTGGGAAGGTAACAGCATTCCATGCAGTCCTACTGGCCACATGACCTTTGAGATGTCTACAGACAATGCCAGCTCTTCAACTTAGAAATGGAGATGAGCACCACCCCACAGAAGTCAGACTTGACTAGATTTAATGTCAGGGGGAAACCTTTACCTTTACTATGGAAGATAATCTTGTGGAAATGTTAACCAATTGGAAGTGGAAAGAATTCTCTTCTATGAATTTGAAGGGATCATTCTCTGGTCATTATCAGCTCTTTGAAATAATGAAGAAGAAAAGGAGGAGAGGCGCAACATAGTTCAAGCAACACTAAGTGGTGTCTAATAAAAAAAGACAAAATCAAGGCAAGTTGCCTGAAGTTGGCACTAAATTAAAACAGAAACAGTGGAGGAAATTAGACATCTGTCTGACACAAGGATCTTGGAATGGAAGGAGAGTTTCTTCACAAGAACAAAGGTGTGTGTTCAAGCATCCAAGCACAAGAAAAAGTCCCAAAGTAATATATCAGCTTCAGAGCCTAACTATTGCTAATTCAGCTTCATCCCCCACCTGCTAAATTTTCAAGTGAATTCCCATTCACAACAAGAGTTCTAACATAAGACTTCTGATCTTTTGGATGACTCTCAAGCTTCTTGTATATCTTCTATTGGAGTGGGTGCAAGGCAGTATTACAGTGGGCGGTTGCCTTTAGGCTGCTTCCACAGGTGATACTAAGAATGCCTCAGTTAACCTCTCTTTCTTGTGAATACTGCAGCATGTTGTGTGTAAACAGGCATTCTAAATTTTGTGAATAAATACTAGAAATGTGGCTACATAAATGTGAATGATTCAGCGGTTGCACTGCCTGATCCTATTCTGGTGAACTGATGTGATCTTGGAGAAGACCATTCTTGGCTTCCAAACACCTTTTCCCCCCAAAGCCCACGGAGTATCCTCCCAAGGGAGTTTATTCTTTCCTGCATTAGATAACAAGGTTCAAACAAGTGCAAAGCCATGTAAACATTTGAGCATGCAGATCAAGAGATGTTTTGATGCCATCTTGTAGATGTAAATTTAAAAGAAAAAGAAAAGAAACCTTGCTTTCCACAGACTTCTTTGTTCTTTGTGTTCAGGTGCCCCTATTGTAACTGTGGGCCTATCCCCAGTGCTGCAAGAACACATTTATTTTTGCCCATCATCTGTGCGCCATTAGGATATAACCTATCCATTGTACAACCAGGCCTGGGTCTCTACTGCTAATTTCTCTGTAACTAACATTAAACCCACATTTGTCAATCCACTTAAAGACTTGTTTCCCCCATTCCCAAGGCATAATTAGTGGCATGTTTCTTTTCTCATACCAGTATATCTTGTATGTGATCTGATAGCTCAGTGCTATTACCTATTATAAGAAAAAAAATGTTTTCTCACAACTTATTTGACCCACTTTCTCAAGTGATGTCTGTGCATTCTTAGCTGTAAAGGTCACCAAGAACTTGAGCTACCTACCCTGATGTATAATAATAGGTGCACCTATCAGCTTTAGAAAGATAGTACGAAAGAATTCCAAACATTTCAAGGCTTCAAATTATTTGCTACAGTGACTTCTCCCTGTAGAGCGCACAACATTTGCTCCCCCAACCCCAGAGCAAAACTGTGATGAAACACCCACAGCTTCCAGGTCAAAGAACAGTCTTCTGAAGACGTGTAGCATGGGGAAAAGCTGCCCCATGTTCTTCATGTTGCATTCAGATGATGCCCCGTTGCTTCACTGTCTAGGTGTTGACCAGCCCATGTCACTGAAAGGTCCCTCACCTGTTGCTGACCTTGGTGGGGGCCCGCAGGGTGTGCAGAGATCAGAATCCGTGTCCGATTCCCCTTCTGCAATGTAGGGTCTGATTTTGGCTACAGCGGTATAGCAACCGTTGTTAAGGACGTCCAAATTTTCTTTGGACTGGGAAATGCTAAACCCACTGAAGGAACGCTCCAGCTCCTCATGGTCAACTGAGGGGATAGAAATTGAGGTGTCACTATCCCTCAGGGCACTCTCAGGATGTTTAGCGGTAACATCTTCATTCTTTGCGTACTCAGCACTGGCCCTGTGCCCACCGCCGTAGGCAGACGAAGAGCGCTCGTGTGAAGGTGGTGGTGGGATTCTTACCAAAGAACCAGGTTCACCAACCGGAGAGACTCCGTGGCTTTGCCGGGTATATGGCTGCCAAGAAGTGGAAGGGGGGCATGAGTTGTTTGGCACCGTTGTGGCCGGCGGTGCAGAGAAATTCTTCTGTCCCATGGAACTTGTGGAGCGAATGATCTTAATAATGCACCCATTTTTGTCAATATGCTCCCGGCTGTCTTCTGGGCTATGATAAGGTGGTGCTGGATCTGGTTCCTTGGACCCAAAGTAGGCTTCTGTTTCTGTTGGAGGTATCCCCATCCGCTGCATGTAGATGTTCACTAGGAAGTCCAACTTCTTCTCCATGGACTGTACCTGGAAAAAGTCACAAAAATCTCAATGTATTGTGTTCCACAATGTATTGTGGTACCACACAATTCACTCTGATAAATTATACTGCAAGCTATAAAAATCCATATTTTATTCCCAGGCAAAATGGAATCATAGCCCAAGGAGACTTGAAATTTTTCTATAAAGATTGAAATCAAAATTATTTTGCAGTCAAAATCTTATATATCTAATCCTTTATCTTCATGTTAACTTTCTTCTGTCCATTCTGGCTCAAAGGAAACCTAAATATATGTTGTCTGCGTTTGTTTATATGTATTACATATTGCTAATGATTCTGCAAGTGCATCACATTTTCATTATTTTCCAGCTTAATCCTACACACGCAGAGTGATTCTCTGTGTTTGCAGAAGTATACGTGCTTTTAAAATTCAAACTTTTCAACAGTGATAACTCTTGGTTTCCATGTAACAGACCAGTGAATGCACTAGTTGTTTAAATCCACAATTTACAGAGGTTTTCCAGTGTGTGACATCCTTAGTATGGACAAGGTTCAGCATCTCAGATATTCATGTTAAACTTTAGACCAAAACTCAGAAATGTCCTCCTGATAAGTAATATATATAAAAGAAGTATTGGTTTTTTGGAACTCAAGAGAGATACTGTGATGAAACACCCTCAGTTTTTAGGCTAAAGCAAGACTAGCATGCATTCTAAGACAATTTATTGTGGGAATATCAAAATTAATCCAAAGTCTTGTCAGAAATTGAGGCAATCTGTGATTTTCCTCAGAGGGGGAAAAAACATGGAGTTTCAAACCTTTTCATTATCATTTGAAATATTAGGGAATTCTGAGTCCACTCTTTCTGATCTAATCTATGTCTGCTTAGCTGATTGGTCTAATCATTCATCTAACCCATGATCTACTGAAGGTGAGTCTCCTCAGAACACATCAGACAGACCGGAGTGTGACCATATTCTTCTTTGCCTGTTTATGTGGGCTTTGGTCCTTCCAGATAAACATGGGCCATGAACTTCAGACTGCAGATGGAGGAATGCTAAACAAACTGCCTGTAGAGGGAGGAGGCAACTGGCAACAGGGAGAAGATGGGACAGATTAATAACTATTTAGCTTCACTCTTCCCAATACTGTTTCACCATTGCTCCTTCAATATGTATACAGTGAAAAATGTGAGATAAAAAGATGACTTCTACTGACTCTGCTAGGACTAACTGATAATGAGGTCCACCCTTCTGGATCCATCTCTATCAGTGGACATTCAATCTGGGTCAGTTCTTGAATGTTCTTATTCCTTTATTGCCCCTTCTCAAGAATTAATCTGGAAGAACATGGAGGTTACAACTGAAGAATTCTCAAACTCACCTGTTTTTCTACCTTTCCGAGTCTGCCCATCATACTTGGATCTTCCTGTTCTCCTTCGCCTGAGCCTTTTGTTCGGTCCTTGTCTGTCATAGATGGCCCTCGCCCAACAATCTGGTCAACTCTACCAGGAGCACAAACCCGCACCCCAGAAAAAGCCATGGCGTTAATGAGCTAGAATTGAGGGCTCATTGCTCTCTTCTATGCTTACTTCTCTGCAGAACAAATGTCTTTCCCTCAGCTGAAAAGTAGCATTTAAGGATTCGCAAAAACAGAAGTAGGTAGCTCAATATAAACTAAGATGCAAACACATCTCTCTATTTCTCTAAGTGGTATATTGGTTCAAAATTCGTTGGTTTTATTTCGAGAGATAAAATCTGGCACATTATGCATAGCAAACTTGCCCCTTTGGGAGAATGTGACATCAAGCTTGTCAAGTCCCAACATGAAATTGTCTATGTGTATAACTTACATTATATTTCTGAGCTCCCAAACTTATCAAGTGCCTAAGAATTCTGTGATCCTACACTGCATAATGTAGAGCTAGACATCTGGAAATATATAAATTTAAATTTTCCAAATAATATTTCCAATTACAAAAAGGAGAATTTAAGATTTACAAGACAACTTCCCATAATTGGGTTCTGGCTTTCAGGAAACTTGCTTTCCTAAACCTTTGCATACAGCTTGTATTCACAAGGCTTTTTTTAAAAAAATATGTACATCATTGTCCAAATTTTCTTGCTAGGACACCTGCCCATGTCGAAATTGTGCTTGTCCAGTAATACTAAATTGATACCTACAAATAGTGATTTAAGAATTGATACCTAAGAGTGGAACTTTTATTCTTGTCCAGGACAGTAAACTTTTTTCAGACTCAATTTTCAGTTATTTTTTCAACTTGTAACATTTATTTATTTATTTTGTATCAAAAGCATTGCGTAAATTAGTATAAAACTGATAAAAATAGAACTTGTAACACGAAGTCTGCCTTTAATTTGCAATATTCTGCCATCAAAACAAGACTTCTGACTCTTTTAACAGTCATGCAGAAAAGAGAATTTGACTGGAAACATTTGCAGTGCCAAAGTGAGAGAAATTATATCTCTCAAAATGCCCTTTTCCATTAAGTCTGCAGCATGGCATGTAGGTTGCTTGCTTCTTTATTCCTTTCTAAGAAAAGGAATCTCAAACACAAGATGGGGATGTTGTGATAATTTAAATATTCCAGTCTCACAAAGAAGCCAGCACAATCATGCTGCTCTGGCTGCAAAATTTTTGGTTTGGCCTATGCTCTGACAGTTAAAATAATTGCAAAAGTAATCAATATTTGTAATTATAGATTAAGAACATACTACATCACTGATAGGTAAGAGAGGGAAATACAATAATGACTGATAAGCCCCACCTCACCAATTGGCTTTGATCGCTGCAGCACAGAAAATAGTTTGTCCCATAGGAACTTGTGGCTTGTAAAACCAAACCACAGAAAACCATGCAGCAATTTTCCCACAATGTGCATAAGTGTTAATATCTGATCTTGATGAAAAGATGGCAAATTATGGAGAATCATCAAAGCTTTTAATAAAATGCTCCATTCATTAATTATAGAGAACAGTTCAATAGGATAATATAGTTCTCTTACTGAAGCCAAGCAAGTCTAATTTTGCATACTGTCTGGATAGGAGGTGGCATGGGCATCTCCTATCCAAATTTTGATTGTGAAACTAAAACTGAAAATGAACAGCTAAAGCTTAAGTTTGCATAAGCACAACAATGCTTTAACATTTAACAAATACATCAGATTATATAGTTCTAATGTGTTGCTTTGATAGATAGAAAAACTTGGGTTGCTGAGAGTTTTCCAGACTGCATGACCATGTTCCAGGAGCATTCTCTCCTGATGTTTTGCTCACATCTATGGCTGGCATCTTTAGAGGTTGTGAGGTCTGCTGAAAACTAGTGAGGTTTATATATTTGTGGAATGTCCAAGGTTGGAATAAACATGACTTTCTGGTCATAATTACCTCTATTTCCCAATAGTTTTACAATTATTGAACATGTGAGGAAACCTCAGTTCACCACCACATAATATACTCACAACTATCTGGCTGCCTTAACCCTAAAGAATTAATTAACCCTGGGACAGTTTTACCATTGCGTAATATGCCAGAAGTGCACAGGTGATAGATCGACCATAACTACAATCATAACAAAAAGCAAAAAGAAAATACATTAAGTTTTGTCTGAAACCAAGTTAGTCGTTTGGAGTGGAACAAAAACAATGCTGCTTATGCAGTTCTGCAGTGTGGGCAAGAGGTCCATGCACAAGGAGATGGATGAAAGTTATGAGTTCAAATGCAGACAAAGGAAAGGGAAGAAAAGGTCAACAAGATGAAAGGTTACAAAGCACTTTGCAAAAATCTCCATTACACATCGTAACAAAATGAAGGAAAGGGGCAAGACACAAGGCCAATTCTGACAATACAGCCACGTAAAATGCCTCAACACAGTAGGATGGAGGTTGGTCTTCTTTGCACCTAAATGGCAGTGAGTGTTCAGAACACGCAGACTGTGAACAATAATAAGGGGGTGATGTTCAGGTTAATATATTTTACTGGGTTAATGTTTTTTAAAAACGCCAATTTATTGTAGATGAAATGTAATCTAGGAACTGGGCACTACCAGCTGATTTTAAAAAGTGAATTTCTTTTTTGGGGGGTGCAAATATTCCAACTGTTTATGTGAGATTGAGCATTAGCTCTTACACAAGAGATCCAGTAAGCTGCATTAACTTGGTGATGAATGTGATTGAAGCCACGCAGCTTCAATAGAAACTATTTCCAATATACATGTATTCCCTATCAATATACATCAACTATCATCAGAGTGATAAGGTCTGATTTCCTGGTGTTTTTTCACTGAAAGTTGGGATGGAGCATGTGCTAAAAGTTTATAACAACATTTTACTTTTTTGAAATGATGCAGAAACTAAAAAAAAAAGTATATATCTATACAAATTCTTGGCTCAGCCATTGTACGATTTTCTCACATGCTTCATTATGCTCCATGCTCAAAAACTCATGCAAGGAGGTTTGTCCATTGTTCACCCTCTGGCCAAAAGCAGAAGGCAAAGATCAACATTTCTCAAATAGGACAAAAAAAGGCAGAGGTTGACATTTCCTGAATTAGCTTTTGAGTAGCAGAGGTACACTAGGGCCAACCCCCTTCCTCCAGCTCATACAAATGGCTACTTACCCTCCCGTACTGGTTTGAAATACTTTTCAAGAATGTCTAGCTCCATAAATGCTTGTGAGTGCTCTGTTTAGCACCATAAAGCACCAGGTCTCAGCTTTCTCCCTGGGTTCCTTTCTGCAAGCTCTTGGCTTCCTAGTGTAGCCAGTGAATGAAATGAATGGATGACCTGGTTCAAGATGGGACAAACCATCATCCCTTGCAGATGTCAGACAAGGAAACCTCACCATGATCCATTTGGAGAACAAAGAACGACCCTTCAGCATGGCACGTGCCAGTACAGATGAAAACTCACCACTGTGGAGATGCCTTAATAACCAAAACAAACCTTGATATGATGAGATCTATTGGGACAGGGGCACTGCTGTTAGTCCCATCAGTAAGGACAATATACGGCGAAGGCCTTCAGTGCTGTGGCACCGTAGCTGTGAAATACCCTTCCTTCGTGGATCAAATAGACCAAAGTGAACCCAAGTAACAACATGGCTTTTAATTAGAGCATTTTGGACAGAAGTGATTTTAGTAAAAAAAAAATTTGCATTGCAGTGGTTGAAAATTGTTCACATCTAGGTTTCCTAAAGGCATCACATCCTGGAAGGTAGCAAGGACAGCCCTGGTTATTAAATGGATGGGGGATTGCCAACCTAGACCAGGTGCTCTGGACTATATTTCAGAGGAAGGAACTGGCAAGACCATCTCGAAGCATTCTTCTCAACACTCCTCTGCAACTTCAGATGATAGGAATTAGGTCCATAATGGGTTGTCCACAAGCACCAATGTACCCATGGGCACTTCTCTTGGTGCCAGTCAACCTCCTAGCTCATGAGGGCCTTTAATTAAGGAAATCACTGGGACACTGGCATGAAGCAAAATGGATATCACATGGGTGTCATAGACATCCTTACAAAATAAAGATGGAGGGTTTCTGATGTCCATTACCCCATGTGGAAGCACACCGAGCTGCAAGAAAAATGAAAAGGGTAAGCTAAAGAATGTAAGGAATCTTTTTGGAGAGATTGTGGTAATGGGGATAAGTAAAGAGAGTATGCTCTCCACAGTCTGAATGTTTGCCAGTAAGTGTAGAGGCTGGACATGGGCACATGTTTTGCCTCTGTGTCTGCCTCAATGGACAACATGACTGTGCTGCTTAAAAGGGGGGCATATAATTTGTTCTTCATGCAGGCAAGTAATGCAATTTGTCATTTGAAGCTCAGATCTCACCCTGGTCTCCTTCTCAAGTGTTTGCTTTGATTTAGTGATTTCTTTCCAAAGGTCTTCAATTTGCCTTCTGTGAAATGGGTGAGTTAGCGGAAACTGTGGGCACAGAAAAGCAGATTGGTGTTTTGGACTCTGACCCAAACCCTCCCTTACACTCCGGTTATCATTCTTTCTTTTGCCCTTTTAGGTAATGAGTGCTTGTGATTGGCCATGGCAACATTTTTGTGAACAGACTTCCCCTCCCAGCAACTATTTTGTGTGCGCACCCCAACAGTTTCTAAAGTTCCAAATGTACAGGAAAATGCTTTTTTTCTGCAAAAAAACAATCACATATGGAAAACAAGCAAATCAGTCCCAAATTGTGAAGAGTCTTCCAAACAGCATAGCTTTTGGAAACTCTCACAGTGAGAAGAAATTTGATATATTAGTTGTAGCTTTATAAAGAAATTTCATAAAGAATTGCATCTCTAAGATGTATCCACAAACCCTACAGTGCTGATGGACTTTTGTTGTAAGGCATGGATGGAACTGATGGGCAATTTCTCCTCCAAGGTGCTATGAAAAACTTTCTTTTAGAAGAACCTTTGATAAATATTCAGATCTTTAAATGGAAAACAACAAAAAAATCCACCACAATTCTATCCTAGAGTATAACAAAAATAGAACTGTCCTAAAGAAATGGTGTGAGACCTCTAACAAAGATGCCCCAAAAGTCCATGTGAAGTGTGGTTTCTTTTCAAGGAGAGAAACCTATAAGATAATATGCTCAATAGATATGTACATTGAATTCCCATACTGCGTAGAGTTACTAAATCAGTGATTCTCAACCTTCCTAATGCTGCAACCCCTTAATACACTTCCTCATGTTCTGGTGAGCCCCAATTAATAAAATTATTTTTGTTGCTACTTCATATTAATAATTTTCTCACTGTTATGAATTGTAATGTAAATATCTGATATGCAGGATGTATTTTCATTCACTGGATGAAATTTGGCACAAATACCTTGAAGAGGCAGGACCCTGATACACCCAAATTTGAATACTGGTGGGGTTGGGGGGTATTGATTTTGTCATTTGGGAGTTGTAGTTCACCTACAATCAAAGAGCATTCTGAACTCTACCAATGATGGAATTGAACCAGACTTGGAACACAGAACCCCCATGACCAGCAGGAAATACTGGAGGGGTTTCGGAGGGATTGACAATGATTAAGGTAAGAGCATATCTGATCTCACCCTCCACCAACTTGGAATCTCAGAAACAGCCCTCCCCTTAGCTGAGAAGCCGGCCAATCACAGTGGAGGATGGCTTTTAGTGGGTAGATTCACTGTCTGTTTCCAAAAAAGGATAGGCGGAGAGATCTTCAGCCTTCTCTGCCAAAGGGGTTCTTAAGACCATCAGAAATATGTGTTTTCTGATGGTCTTGTTGACCCCTCTGAAACCCCCCTTGCGACCCCCTCAGGGGTCCTGACCCCCAGGTTGAGAAATGCTATTCTAGATGGTAGCCTCTTTTCTGTATTGTAATCCTTTGGCCTTTTGTCAGTTAAAACCACATTTGGGCAAATATTTATTCTCTCCAGTTGAAGGAAATGTTATAGTAAGGACTCTACCATGGGCCTTGCAATTTCAGCAACATAATGCCATGACGTTTACCATTCCAAGCATAAAGGCTGAGAGATCCCGAATGGTTTTATCAAAGGAAAATGAATGGTTGGATAAGTGTTCCATGGCCATTTCCAAGTTTGCACTGCTGTGAAGATCCACCTTTGGTGTCTCTAAAAGTAAAGATTTAAGCACATCCAGGAGAGCAAGCCATTCGGTGCAAAATGCGTCAGCAGCGAGTGACAGATGCTGTCATTTAAGGTGGCATGAAAGGGGTTTGACAGAAAGCAAATGAAAAAATTTCAGAAGAAAGAGGCATTTTGGCAAATCCTAACCTAGGCGAGTATTGGGGTGAGGATCCTTTAGTTGAATACTTCTTATGCCGGGGAGTTGAAGGGGGCGGGGGACCCACAATCATATCTATCCTGGCGAAAATAAATGACAAGAAAAAAGACACCAGCAAAACGCATAATGAAGCAACATGTTGGGAGGAAAAAGTCGGTTGGAAAGCTGCAGAGATAGAAATGACTACTGAAAACCATATTAAAATACGGAGAGAGAGAAAGGAGAAAGTTGAAAATGATATTCCGTCCAGAACGGAAGTCAGTTATCATATTAACTTGATCATTTGGGAGCATATTGAGTTTGGATTCTGAAAGGCTGCAGAATTTTGAGCAGCAATGGAACAGCCCTTCTTCGACTCAAAAGGGCAGCTTTTCCGCAATGAATAGGCAACACATGCTGAAACAAGCTGGAACATTTATGAGAATATTCCATTTGAAATGTAGACTTCTTACGTCACAATATATGGAACACATTCTCAGCTGGTTTGGGAACACAAAAGCTTTGGAGGAGGCAAACGCATCCATGGATGGGATGGGACAAGAGACAGAAACAAGGGAGGTCAAAAGACAATGTCATGGCACACTTCACAAAAGCAGCAACAGGTATCATGAAGGGTGAAGGAGGAAGTGCGTATGAACACCTCCCTAAAATCTAGATCATTTCCTCTGGTAGCTGAAATTAAAAGAATACTGTTAATCAGGCTCAGTCAAGTTCAAACCACAATTCACATGAAACTCTGTGTTCCTCTCTATCACATTAATAAAGAAAGATGGGAAAAATGATCCATTTGGTCAAGTTCGCATTCTAAGGAGATGAGGAGCAGGTGGGAAAGGGTGTTAAACCTTTTCTCTTTCCAGCATGTTTTGTTCTCAAAAATATTATTTAAATAGAAAACTTATCACCTTTCCCATACTGGTTTTCTTCATGGAAAAAAAAAGAATATTGTGAGAGCTATTTGTTCCAGCTTAAAATGGTTAATGTTCAAATGCTTCCTTGTTACTAAGTTGATTTTGGTTTAAAACTCAGCAAACGCTGAAGCTCATTTACACAAGATCAAATTTGATAATAATTTCTTATGGGGGCAACTTACCGTATATACTTGGGTATAAGCCGTATTTTTCAGCCCTGTTTTAGGCTTAAAAAGCCCCCTTTCAGCTTATACTCAAGTCAAAGTTATTTATTATTTTACTCTGTTATTATTATTTTTATTACATGTATTAGTTTACTCTATTTATTGTTATTAATATTAAATTTCAATTATTTTCCTCTATTATTATTATTACATTTATTATTTGACTATTTATTATTGTTATTGCATTTACATTATTTTATTCTATAACATTTATTATTATGAGAAGGATACATAAGCAATGTATTGTCAAAGGCTTTCATGGCCGGAATCACTGGGTTGTCGAAGTTTTTTTCGGGCTATATGGCCATGGTCTAGAGGCATTCTCTCCTGACGTTTCGCCTGCACCTATGGCAAGCATCAGAGGTAGTGAGGTTTGTTGGAACTAGGAAAAATGGGTTTATATATCTGTGGAATGACCAGGGTGAGACAAAGGACTTTTGTCTGCTGGAGCTAGGTGTGAATGTTTCAACTGACCACCTTGATTAGCATATAATGGCCTGACAGTGCCTCAAGCAAACTTTTGTTGAGAGGTGATTAGATGTTCTTGTTTGTTTCTTCTCTGTTGTGCTGTTGTTGTGCTGTTGTAATTTTCACCCAAACATTCACACCTAGCTCCAGCAGACAAAATACCTTTGTCTCACCCTGGTCATTGGTGCAGGCGAAACATCAGGAGAGAATTTCTCTAGACCATGGCCATATAGCCCGAAAAAACTACAACAACCCAGATACATAAGCACATTTACATTGAAGAAGGTTAGGATAATGGTTTAATCAGAGTTGGACAGTCTTATCTTAAATTACAGTTTTATGTAATTATCCAAAAACATTTAACTTACTGATGTATCAATTAATGTAATTTTACTGGTACCTATTAATTTGAAATTTACCAGTAGCTCCTGCATTTCCCACCTTCAGCTTATACTCAAGTCAATACATTTTCCCAGTTTTGTGTGGTAATTTTAGGTGCCTCGGCTTATATTCGGGTTGACTTGAACTTGAGTATATGGTACTATATAATGTTAATTTTCCTGTCAAACTTAGTCTTTAGCTGAACAATGGTAAGCAAATTGTTCTTTGTATTCATGTAGAACATGAGGCACTCTTACTATTTTTTAAGCTCAGTTTAGCAGTCAAGAAGGCAGGTATTCAAGACCATTGCGTACAATGGGAAGTCACCAAGACAAATTTGTTAGGAGTTCTGAATGCTCTTCTTAGTTTACAGAATGAACATGCTGGGAAGGGGATGTAAAAGAAAAATCAGTTTTACTCAGTGAAATATTAGTTTTATTTACTATACTAGAGTATTCCCAGTGGTTTCCAATACATTTTACAAAAGCAATGCCTGGGAACTACATGAACTGAAAAACAGGTGCTTGTTAAATTTTCCTGGGAGAGCTTTTGTCTTCCACAGGAGAAGGATAAAGACCCAATTGCTTTCGAATATCTGTATTGCAAAAAAGAACAGGCTGTAGATTTCATTTCCTTTGCTAGAGAAAAATATTGTTCATTTGAAAACATCCCTATGGCGACTCAGTCATTAACCAATTAAATCCTTGTCTTCAAAGTCAATATGATGGATTTTCTCAATTTGTTCAACTTTTCTAAACAGGGGGGAAACATGGTTTTATTTTAAAGAGCTGCAGTAAATCTTGCCAAACAAAAAGGTTGACAGTTCGAAGCCAGGTCAGGGTGAGCTCCTGACCTTAAGCCCACCTAGCGGATAGAAAAGAGCAATGTGAGGAGATGAATAGAAACTGCATTAAGTGGGGAGGTATTTTAAGCACGGCTTTTCGATCAAAAAAATGAGGGAAGTTTACGAACAAAGAAAGCTCTCTTTCAGAGATGGAGCAACAGCACCCCCTGTGGCCAGAACCGAGCACAGCCTTCAAAGATGCCGAAAGATGGGTAAAAGCTTATATATATATACCTCTATCTGTTGTCTATGTTTTCATTGTGTAATTGGCATTGAATAATTGCCATATATGTGTTCTGTGATCCACCTTGAGTCCCATTCAGGGAGAGAAGGGTGGAATATAAATACTGTAAATAAATAAATAAATCATCACAGGATTTTCTAATTTTTCACCCATATTATTTAAACAACACTTCAAATGAAAATGGGACTTTTTAGGGATAATAATAATAATAATAATAATAATAATAATAATAATAATAATAATTTTATTTCTTACCCAGTTCTCATAGTTCAGTGGTTCTCAACCTGGGGTCCCCAGATGTTTTTGGCCTACAACTCCCAAAAATCCTAACAGCTGGTAAACTGGCTGGGATTTCTGGGAGTTGTAGGCCAAAAACATCTGGGGACCCCAGATTGAGAACCACTGTCATAGTGGATTGAGGCCAGATGCTTTGAAATAATACTTCTTGAAATCATCTGAATATAAACCTAAGTGTACAGCTTTTATTTCTTTCCTGAACAACTATCATATTTTTAACAATAAAGCATATATTGCTATGGATTGTGGACTATGTTTCCCAGAATCCACCAGCCAGCACAGCCAGTTGCCATGTTAGCTGGGTGATCCTGAGAGTTGAACTCCAATCAGGTGACTATTGTAGGGTTGGGTCAGGATATGTAGGACACTCGTTGCTTGTTACAGGGAAGAACAAAGAGCTTCATAATCTATAATAAAAATATAGTGCTTTTGAACTATACACAAACAACTCTTAGCAAAACCTTGAGAGGAATAATAGAACGTTGGGTGGTAACTATCAATTTAGATCTCCTGTGAGTCCTGATAGCACTTTCTCATGGGGCAGAAAGACACAGAAGGTTGAAGGAGGGGAAATTCTTGCCTGGATTGAAGGTTTTTGATCCTGGAAAGCATATCCAAATGTCCTGCCGAGTACTGTTCTATGACATCCATTACGTCATAGGGCCGCAGGCTCTCCTTGAACTTCCGTTTTGAAACCAGAAATCTCATCACACTAAAGGAGAAAACACAAGAGTGACAAACAAGAACCTGAAATTGTGTAGGTATTTTCTTTTATTTCATAGTGTCCTATCTTTGTATTTGTTCCCAAACCCTTCATACAGACATTTATGCGCCATGCCGTACGACAAACTGAGTAAACAACTAACTGAGTAATAGTTTTCCTCTCCCCATGCAGTGGGGAGAGGAGAAAACATTTGTCTGCCTCCCACGAGGGTGGGAGGGGTTTGTAGGAACCCTCCAGAAGGATGGGGGCGTGGCCTGCATGCAGGCCGGACCCGAGCGGGCGCATTCGGCGCCCGAAAGCTGGCGACGACGGACGTGCGGCAGGGAGCGGAAGACGTTTGAGGGACGGAGAGTGGTAGACTTCGAGGGAGCCGAGGAGAGAAGGAGCTGGAAGAAGAAGATTGGGAGAAGAGGAGGCGGAGGAGTGGTCGGCTGATTATTAGTCGTGTGGATCGGTTTGTTGGAGGACAAGTAGTAGTGCACGAGGTCGGTCTCGGGGTTTTTTGCAAATTGGGGGGTGGGGGCGTCWTCCCCCCCCCCRTTCCTCCCCCCCCCTCCCGCCACCTTCAAGTTTGGGGGAGCCCAGCCCTTKGGGGATTTGGCCTGCGCATTCCGCTCGCGGCGCGAGGACACCACCTTACCTTCTTTCCCTCACGTCCTCCCAAGTCATTTGTTGAGGGCCCACAGGTTGACGGCCGCCGCCCTTGAGGCAACGGATGCAAGCTGACTAGGAAGTTAAACAGGACCAGTCCGGGTTGTTTCTCGGAAGGGAACGCTTCCGTTGCTGGCAGCTGCGGGCGGAGGGTCTGGGCTGTGGGTTGATGGTGGGAACTTTCGGATGGGGAGGGCGTTGTGAGGGGGTGCCGTGGTTTCGCTCGGCGCTTTTCTTGTCGCCCGACGGGTTTGTTGGGCTGCACGGCATGCGGCGCTGGTGCAGTGTGCCGCCGTTGCAGGCCTGGCGGCGTTCGGGGCCCTGGCGGGCTGGCTGGCTGCTCCCAGCCTGATTTCTCGATGGTGGGTTCGGCGAAGTGTTGGGGACGATGGGGTAATAGAGTGTTGTTCCCTCCCCCTCCCCTTCTGATCGGCCAGAGTGTTTTTTGGTCGGGCCGTTGGCGGCACTAGGCGTCCGCTAGTCGTCAGCGTGCATGCAGCGCTGGGTTTAGGATCGGCTTGTCTGCGCTGCCTGGAGGGAAGGCTGGTGAAGGGCCCCTTTGTGATTTCCCGCCTTTGGTAGGGGCGGGTTCCTCCCAAGGGGCGGGGCCTTTCTTCGCCGGTGGAGGAGGGCGATAGTTTGGGCGCGAACATGGGCGCCATCTTGGCAACGCTGCGGTCGCCATTTTGGGCTTATGCGCGGGCGCCATTTTGTTTCCGGATGAGATGCGTATGTGGCGGATCGTTGGTATATATATATATAAAAAAAAAAAAAAAAAAAAACGCTGGAGGAAGCTATGCTGCTGTATTGGGAAGGCGGGCTTTGAACTGGGCCTGAAGCAAGAAACTATGCTTGGGCCCAAGGGTTGGTTTTAATGGGAGGTAACGTTAGCCTCCCCCCCCCCCGCTTCCCACTGTTGTGACCTTATAAATCAATATGATTTGGTATCTTCAGTTATGTTATGTGGCTGAGGACTGGCAGGGTGTAGCTTAGGGCCAGGTGGTATGGCACGTAAGCGCGCGATGGCAGTTAGCTACTATGTAATGAGTCTTTCAGTAGTTTGTTGCAAATGTGAGTAGATCAATTGGGTCTTATAATGGGCTTGATTTGGGGAATGGGGGCGAGCACCTCTTGCCGGCCCCATTTGGAGTTTTTCTCACAATGGTGGTCAATGCAAATGTGAGTAGATCAATAGGCTTGGTAGGATTTAGTCCTTGTGCAGGATCTAGTGGTACTTGGGTGTTGTTCTGAGAGGGTGCACTGCGTTTAGTTTATAATGTGAGGTAGTGTTGGGTCAGTTTAAAAGGGGTGCTGGCGAGTAGCCTGAGCTTGGCATCATGGCTAACAGGGATTTAGCATGGGTGCTGAGGTGATGAGGTCCATCTTTGCATTGGGGACATTCTTGTTGTGACACAGTCAATGTTGTTTTTTCTTTCAGATGGCCCCTAAGAAGAATGTGGGTGGCCCGAAAGGGAAGGGACCCGCGAAGAAGACGGTGGCGAAGCGGCCCCTTCCTCAGCAAGATTCTTCCTCGGATGAGGACGGCATTTCGGTGGAAGAGTTGGATACCCTAATTGCTAGAATGGATAAATTTGAGAGAGAGGGGGCTTACAACCAGGGAGGCGGGGCCTCGCCCGACTAGGCGGGCTAGTAGAAAGCTGATTTTTAAGAATTTGCTTTCTCGGATGTCCATTCTAGAATCCGGACGAGGAGCTGGGGCAGAAGCTAGCGTGCAGAGCGGTCAGACGGTGCCTGATAGGGAGGAGCGTGTGGCATCTGCGCCAGTGTTACCGCAGTTTCCATCAGGAGGCGATGAAGGGATGGCGAGCAGTTCTGGGACAGCTGCGCCCGGAGGGGGTCAGGCGGTGTCTACGGTACAAACCGGATTGGCAGAGAAGCAGCTCGGGGCTCCGGCTGCATCATCTACCCCCAAGCCGGGGAGTTCAGAGGTGGCGCCTCGTCCAGTACCACCGGTTGAGCGCGAGCCCGTGACGTCAGGACAAGATGTGGTGCAAGCTGTGGCGCTGGAGGGACCTTCTACGTCCACAGGTAATAGCACCACATTGGTCTGGCCCTGGGGCCAGGTCCAGTCACAGAACACACCACCTACTCAGGCAGCGGGGGTAGCTGACTTAGGTCCAGTTCCTACGGAGAAGGCCAGTGTTGTGGGAACCGCTACGGCTCCCATATCGTTGGAGATGGCTAGGACAAGTGAAGCGAGCCAGTATTGGGGGACAGATAGATGGGTTTTGCCGGTGGTTGCAACGACGGCATCTGCTTCACTGGGTTCGCATCTATCGCAGAAAACGATAGACAAGATTCTGAGGAACGAGTACATTGACATATTTTCACTATATTTCAGGGAGTTAGAGAAGAAGGAAAAGGAGGATTTAGATGAGGAGCGTAAGGAAAAGCTCAAAAAGAGGAGAGTAGAGCAGAATTGGAAGAATTGGATTGCATGTTACACCATATATGCATCCTTGTTAGTGGAGGCGCATCCGTATAGGGCGAAGTCCCTTTTTAAATACCAGAACATCATATACGGGGCTTATGTGAATTATACGGGTCAGGCTTGGCTGGTTTATGATAGCCGTTTTCGTGCGGAGGCCGCCACTAAGCCAGACAAGCGATGGGATTTGATTGACAGCCAGTTGTGGATGGAAGTGATGAATTCCACCAGATCGGTTTCTGGTGAGAAGGCCGATAGCGGTCATACCATCCAAAATACTAGGGGGAGTCAGCCCTTTCGGCAGGGTGGCCCAGCACAACAACTGCAGAGACAAAGGGGGATGTGCTGGGAGTTTGCTGCACAGGGGGCCTGCTCGCGCAAGTTGTGCAAGTTTTTACACGCATGTAGCATCTGTCAGGGCAATCACGCAGCCAAGAATTGCTTCAAGGGAAAGCCCGCGAGAGTTGGCCCCCGTGATAGTCAGTTCAGCAGAAAGAGCCCAGCCCAGCTTGTTGTTCCAAAAGGGCCCCAGCCCAATCAAGGTGGGGCCCCTTAGTTGGTGGCTGGAAAAGTATCCGGACAGAGCTGCGGCGGCTTATTTGCTGCGCGGCTTTGTGGAGGGTTTTAGGATTCCGGCCATCGGGCCGCGTTCTCCATGTTTATCACCTAACTTAAAGTCTATAGTTGGTTTCGAGTTTGTGGTTAAGGAGAAGATTGAGAAAGAGGTTAGGGAAGGCAGGGTGGCGGGTCCGTTTGCTGCACCCCCCACTGCCCAGTTTAGAGTTTCCCCGTTGGGATTAGTCCCCAAAAAGGCTGTTGGTGATTTCCGCCTCATTCACCATTTGTCATATCCGAAAGGGAGATCGGTGAATGATGCTATTCCCGACGAGCAGTGTTCAGTTAGTTATACTTCTTTTGACGCAGCGGTGCAATTGGTGAGGCGCTATGGGCTGGGAGCCGAATTGGCCAAATGTGATATCAAATCGGCTTTCAGGTTGCTCCCTGTGCACCCGGACGATTTTGAGTTGTTAGGTTTTCAGTTTCAGGGTTTGTTCTATTTTGACCGAGCGTTGCCCATGGGGTGCGCGGTTTCCTGCGCGACCTTTGAGACGTTTAGCACGTTTCTTGAGTGGGCGGTTAAGGAGAAGTCGGGCCTTAGGGGCGTTGTACATTATTTGGACGATTTTCTTTTTGTGGGGAAGGGACTATCGGGGGACTGTGTCGCCCTGATGTGTGCCTTCCAGCAGCTGGCGCACTCCTTGGGAGTGCCCTTAGCTGAGGAAAAAACGGAGGGGCCCCTCACGGTTCTGACTTTCTTAGGAATTGAACTCGACACGGTCAATCAGTTTTCGAGGTTGCCAGTGGAGAAAGTGGAGAGTTTGGTTGGCAAATTAGAGCACTTTTTGACGCGGCGCAAGGCCACACGGAGAGAGTTTCAGCAAATAATTGGCCATTTAAATTTTGCATGCAGGGTGGTGGCGCCTGGTCGAGCTTTTCTTCGGAGACTGTGCGATGCCATTTCTGGCATAGCATTACCCCACCATCACGTTAGGCTTACGGCAGAAATCAGGGCGGATTTAGAAATTTGGCTGCAATTTTTGCGCCAGTTCAACGGTGTTTCGTTTTGGCGTCACGAGTTGTTGTTGCACAATGCCCTGCAGGTGGCCTCCGACGCTTCAGGTTCAATAGGATTTGGGGTTTTCTTCGATGGACACTGGTGTGCCGAGAGGTGGCCGGTGGAGTGGCATGCGATGGGTATCACAGCAGATTTGACCTTTTTGGAATTTTTTCCCATCTTGGTAGCTGTGACCCTTTGGGCAAACCGGTTTGCTAACTCCACAGTCCACTTCTGGTGTGACAACATGGCCACAGTCCAGGTTATTAACAC